GCAACAGCGAAATTCATATGAACGCAACCGCAGACTGGACTTCGTGAAGGGCAGTATCGAATTTGCGTTCCCTTTGTTCCTCAAATTTAAACCAGCAGACGGGACAACTCGTCCGCAAGGCGCGGCGTTGCTCGCCACTCCTACCATCTTGGTACGTTACGATTGTCTTGTCGCATACCCGCTCTGCTCCGCGCCCGCTTACTGAGACAGAATTTGGTGGATAGGCTGAGGTCGCTCGAGGTGATCTCAGATTGAGAATCAGAAGTCGCCACGGAGGAAGTACTACCATCAAACCCAGTGACTGCTATCTCAGTGGAAGGATTCAGACTAGCAGAGAGCATGGTGTGGCCGCATGGCGTAGTATGTGGTGGCCTGGGTCACCATACACCAACATCTCAAATCTGTACCTTCTTTGTGATGTCTTTCTGAATTGCGGAAATCTACGACTGCGGACCTACCTTGCACACAACAGGCACTCGGAAACTACCCGAACATATTCTCCTACACTGCTTTAACTTACATATGCAGATAGTGAAGTTACTGGCTGTACTTGAGTTCCACATGGGACGGCACAGGCTTGTTGACAGTTGCAGCTCCCCATTTTACAGCTGGCATAGCATGTTTGAAGACAGCTATTGCAGGAGGAAAACTGAAATTGAAGTAGTTCTAGCAAACTACTTGGGATACCGATCCGCATGTTTCTAATACACTTTTCTACGGTTACGTGACAACTAACACTTTTGAAGGAGGTCCTGCTGCGAAAAGCCAGAGCGCAGAGAAACAAAGAACTGCGGCCGCCAAGGCATTGAGAGGTACAAAAAACATATCGCGAGCCAGGAGATGATTTTCTCCAAGGACAGAGGACACCGGGGTGATGAGCTGCTTACTATGCGTGAAAATTGGAAAATAAATGGTCAGAGCGGTCACAGAACGCCTTGAAGACGTGAGGGCGCAGAGAAAAACAGAAAGTTGGCGCCATCAAAGGGATTGAGTTCTAGTTGTCCGTAGGCCCTTTTCTACACATCTTGCATTCCTGCATTGGTCTTTAGAAGGGGTAGTTATTTTCGACAATAGCACGGAATTGTCCTTGAAGTTGTCGCGATGCAGTAGTGAGTAGTAACTTGAGCTAGGCTCATTACAGTAGCAAATCGATTATCGAAAATCGGACACCGGTCTACGAGCAACTTGAACTCAATTCCTTTGAACGCGTCGAATTTGTGTTTTTCTCTGCTCTCTCTCTCGTCCGCGTGGCACTCTATGGTCATTGTGACTTCGCACATTCCAGCTTTTCACGTATGATAAGTGGCTCACCCACCCCGGAGTCCCCTCCCTTGAAAAGCTCGTTTCCTGGCTCGCCATAGTTTCTTGCACGTCTCGATGCTTTGGCAGGCGCTGTCCTCTATCTGTCTGCGTTTCTTGGTTTCGCAACAGGAACACCCACAAAAGTTCAAGATGTCACGTAACCCCGGACAGACTCTGCCAGACACTTGTGTCACCATTGCGATCCAATGATCATACAGTATATCAAGGTAATACTAAGTAAAATCGAAATCCGTGAGATGTGGTAGGCGTGGCTGCGTACTCAACTGAACGTGGCGGTGGCTGTGCTTTTGGAGAGATATTTCCATTTTGACACAATGTGGCGGTGTCTTTCTCGAACACTGAACGAGATGACAGTTGCCCAAGAAGTGAAATAATTCCGAGTAACCCATGCTGTTCCACAATCGAATGCCACGCCTAATCCGTCTCAGGGATGAAGAGTATAAGTAGGTAGTAATGGGTGCTCATGCCCAAAAAATCCATCTACCGAACTCACTACTCGGCAAGGCTACACGGTTAAGCGCATTATCTCTTGTCTACTACGTATAGCCAGAATATCAAGCTTATCCTGAAGACAAATTCCGCGATGGCTAGAATCTCTTCCTCACACTAGCTAAGAAGGTCAGTTACCGTCTAAGGTCACGTGCGAAACGGATACTGTGCTTTTTTTTCAAAAACCCCACAAAAATTAAGTTTAGCAAACAGCTGACACACTGGCTGAGATTCTCACCCAAAAGTATTCAAGTTTGTGTATTACTTGAAGTGGTAAATAAATACAAACTGGGTCAGGATCTTATAAATAATACGCGAACTTACCAAACTTCCCCAGCAAATGGGTAGCAATGGAGCGATTAGAAGCAATGACGTCCACATGGGAACAGTTACTAAATAAATACGTTGTAGAAAGGTTGTCGACTTTAAATGTATAGTTCCAACGTCTTCATTACTGACAACATCAGGTACGTTCTATAGCAGCTTGAGCGGCGTCTTCCAGTTGACGCTTTGATACATTTATCTTAACCTGATCCAAGGGTAGTGCTGGCTAGAGGGCGGAAAAGACTGCTGATGAGTTCACAGTGGAAATCGGGGAACACCAAGAAGCGACTGGCAACATGGTAATGCAGTGGTTGGATGTGGTTCAGAGGGCCAACACCATGCACAACTACCACTTTTGACTACTTGTCATGAGCCGAATCCCTTGAGATCCAGGGGCACAACGGGCGGTCAGCAAGCTATGATTGATTGTCAAAATCTAAAATGGAGAGAAAATTTTGAACAATCTGATCAGGGATGCGAAAAAAGGACCACGAAAAGCCAATCGTGGCAGTGCCGTTGGCACCGCGATCGTTATCATCGTGCCAATAGCCCTCTTACCGGCTATGTGGATATCGATTCGGAAGTCTTGTTCGCTGCGCATGCGGGGCGTGCCAAATGGCTGAATTTGGCTTGGCGCCAACCCGTTTTTCACCAATTGTGAAAGCTGGCAAGCGACTGGTATTCTCGACTGGTATTCTTTCCTCGCCCAACAAGCGCATAAATCTAATTTTTTTACAAAATTGAATCCGCAATTGTTAGAGCTTTTTCTCTGAATGATTAGGGGCGAGCCATTCTGGGGCAGGAAACCAAAGACGCTCAGAATAATCCAATATGAACAAAAAGGGCTTTGTCTGAATTTTGATGTGTTGATTTTTCTCGTTTCATGCGCTTCCCAGTGAACGGCGAATCTTGGGAAAGTTTGGTGGGATGGTTGGCCGGCTGCGATGGGAGGAATAAATTTAGAGAGGGGTTGCCGAATTTGGCAAAACTGCCTTCAAGAGCAGGATGAATTCTCTGATAACTCCCATTGGAGGGACATACGCAGTTCTCGTTTCCTGAATGGGTCTTTGCAAACACGTCAATTTTGAGACCAATGTAGGGGGCTTTCATCCAGTCCAGTAGATAAAAATGGTTGAGTTTGGACAGCAAGGTTCTGAAGAAGCTGGGAAAGCACCAATGAAGAGAAGAACAACTTGTGAAGAAAAGGCTTTTCGAGGTATTCATGGAAAATGGCATGGATGATGTGTTTACTTCTGACGCTGCACTTTTATAGTAGTTGGTACAGCATTGTTCATCAGTAACGCTACAATTGTGGTTCCTGCTTCTCGCATTCGCATAGCTGAGTAAGCCGATGCAATTGCTACTTAATTCCGTAAAGTCGTATACATCTGTGAGAAAGTTTCGGCATTCATGAAGAGTTCCTGTTTAGCCTTGGGTTAGTTGTAATGTGATGCCCTTGTAATTCCTTTCCCATCCCAGTCGTGCCCTGGTTTTGATTTTTCTCTGATTGCCTCTCTTTAAAGAAATGGGCTAAATTCTTACCCCACCCCTCTTTGTTTCAGAAGTTATTCCCGAAGGGTAGTTGAGAGCAGAAGGCAATGGGGAATAAGAAGAATAGTCTAGGAGATGGAAGAATGCGTGGCGCATACCAAAGGAGGTCGATTAACGCCAAAGGCATATCCGTGATATGATGCCCTCTCTCAACGTGGACTTTTATCAACGTACTGTTTCCTTCAGCCCATAACACAAAATTTGCTGTCCCCTATTTTCTCCAGTTCCGATTTGTTTCCTATTTCTCTGCGCTTCGCTAGTTTCTCCCATTGTTTCGCCACAAATCGTATCGTTTTTTCCTTCTTTACATTTCAAACAAGGAGCAGCTGCAGACCGAACGGCCAGGTTTTTCTGAATCGCAGATGGTGTTGATGTTGCATGTGTTCTTTATCATCTGTACCAGTAATAAATACTTCCTAATGTTAAGTGATCGATTTCTGATTGGGCTAACAGCTGTTCTCACCCCGGGTCACTCCGCCAACTCGGCGTCTGCCAGCTGGTCGTCACCATGTTAGCAGCTCTAATTCTTTGCTCCTTCGTGACTTCTGCACTCAGTACAGACGCTGCTATTCTCAGATTCAGTATTCGTCCTGACAATGTGGACTTGGGTACCTCAGTACCATTTGAAATCGATGTAACGGACAATGAACAGGGAGTATTCCTCTTTTCTGTGCGAGGACTTGCTAATAAGTGGAAAGGTCAGCTTCGTGGATTCGCTATCCTGAAGAACATGAACATCAGCGATGGTCTAGCTCTAGTGCAGTTTGACCACCCTAACCTTAATCAAGGTGAGTTGGAACTCATTACACTTATTGCACAAGAAGCATAATTCACGTTTTTTTAATAAGCGGGATAAAAATGTACCAAACGCAGGATGCTGATACTTCCAGCACTTTTTAGATACAGTGGCTGTTTCAATCAAGGATCGTCAAGATGGGCACATGAAAATAACGACTGATCAGGCTAGGATTACTGTTAGCCAGTCACATGCTACGTTGCATGAGTGTACGTACATTCCTTTGTTATTTGTGTATTGCTCAAGATCTAATGTCGCGCGCGCAAATCAAACCGCGACAACTTTGCGCTGCACGCGGTGGTTATGCTGATGCCATATCACCCACACCCTCTCCTTATCAGATTTTCAGAAGCTTGTGGTTACAGTCTTGTTCGCCGCGGATAGTGGGGCTTATCAGGGGGGCTTGGCACAGCGCCAGCCCAGTTTCCACTGCTGTCGCTTGGCCCTTCACCAAATCGTGGAGAATAGGTTGGCGCCACGCAAGAACCCTCCCCCATCCCCCTTAAACGCATTAGATTCCGTAGCGAACGATGATATACTTAATTTTTGAGTGTAACGACTTTCCTCAATAAATAGGCTGGACCCCAGACGGAAAGACTGAGCCGAGAACAAGTAAAGCGCAAAGGGGAGGTGGTATAACGAGGAGTTCAACGGCACATTCCGCGATATCATCAGGGTAGTTACAGTAGAGCTCCATTACGAATTTATAGGCGCTAAGTGAAATCGCCAATAACGCCCTCAATATGACCCTACCTTATACAATGATTTCAAGCACTGTAGGGGATACGGCAAAGAAACATTGTACGCTCCAGAGAGAGGTCAGATGATCAATGACGAGAGAGTACACAAGCAAGCGAGGTCATTATTCTCCTTGCGACTTTTGCGGCAGTCGATCTCCTGAATTAAGGGGCCTGGGTCGAAAATAAGCTTTCAACTCTCCTGTCACGATTCTCGAGTAACGCTGATCCTACACACTCGGTGGGGATAGTTCTTAGGAACTGTGCCTTCGATAACGCCCGCACTGCATTGGTATTTCTGTTCAGCGAATCCTCTTGAGCACGAAGTTATATATCAGCGGTTGTTTTTGTAAAGTTTGGATCGCGTATTTATCACAAGTAGGGTATTTTCAGTGGAATACGTGGACGAAGACGAGAATTCCTGTATGTGTTCTCGAGGAAATTGTGCCTGTTGTGCTGCTGTGAGAATCCCCGACTTCCATCATGACAGTGAGATCTCTTCTTTGATTACCTACAATTTTCCACACGAGACTTTGCTGGGGACTACTGAAGCTGCCCACGACATCTCCTTCTCAAAGATAAAGGGGCTGAATTAACCAGTTGAAAATTCGCGCGCTCGCTGATTTTGAGTGCCAGGCTTCCCAACTCGCATCCTTGACTGGAAACGACCACCTATCACGAAGCATTCCTTATCATACAGTCGTCTTTATTTTATATTGTAACGAGG